GCGAGCGGATCGAATCCGTCAAAAGCTTTAAATACTTGGGCTCAACCATTCTCCTCAACGGCCAAGCTAAAGTCGAGGTACAAATGCGCGTCGATGCTGCAAGAAGGGCGTTTTTACAACTGAATATCCCCTTTGGCGCAGAAATGAAATCAGCCTCAAGACAAATCCGAGTTTTCTCCGCAGCAGTCCGTCCGTCTTGCTATACGGCTGCGAAACCTGACCACTCAGAGTTGAAGACTGTCACAGAATAAAAGTGTTCGATTACTGGTGCTTAAGAATCATGCTGGGAGTACGATAGAAGAATCAACTCTCAAATGAAGCGGTCAGAAATCGGTGTTTTAATCTTGTAAGGCTGAGGACTCTAATGCAACGGCGGCGGCTACACTGGTTTAACCGCATTCTTCGTAAGTCCGATAACGAATTGACAAAAGCTGTCTTGGCACCGCCTCCCTGCCCGAACGGGCCCTGTCGACACGGTGGACACCTGAAAACTTGGCTTGAAACGGTGCGAAAGGATACTGAAAACCTTGGTCTCCGTTCCGTCTACGGCGTTCGCCAATGGAGGTCAAGCTGAATCACAATCTGCGCTGTTCTTACCGCAGGTCACCGAGCGTGGGCAGCGACAATTCGAGATATCCATGAAGCCGGCTTATCCTCTCTCAGGAGCCATCCGCCGTAAAGCAAGTAAAGTGGGAGAAAAGTAGATAAATATATGGTGATCATAAAAGAGATGAAAAGGAAAGTATTTATAGGTTCCATGAATCCGTGGAATAGAGTGTTCCAGTTAGAATTTAATGAAGGAGAGAAAAGTGCGTGCCTGTGAGAAATGAATGTAATTGAAGTTTTACTGGCAATAAAAAGAACACAGTTGCAACTACCCCAGGCAGAAATAAGGCCCAGATAGGATTTTAAGGAGAAATTAACGGATGAGAGGTCATCATGAATGTGGAGTTAACGATGCGAGAAGATGGATAGGGCAGATAATAGTGTAGGGTAGCGTTATCGGCAAAGGTGTGAAGATAATTTGAAGTTGAAGAAAGATCATCAATAAACATCAGAAAAATGGAGGAAGTACGCAACCTCAAGGAACTCCAGTATTCACAGGTACAAAACGAGACGTGGTCCCATCTACTCAAACAGAGATGCTTCGGTCTTTCAGATAGCTTGTTGTTCAGGAAACAAGTTCCAGAGGACGGCCAAACGGGTAGTTTAACCAGCAAACCCGCGTGCGAGACACCATCGCAAGCTTACGACATATCCAGTGACACCATGTGGGTTTCTCCGTGGTTGCGCCGTTGACCATGTATGCGAAATGAGCACCAGGAGCTCACCGG